ATAATAAAAAGTGCTATGGTGGGAAAGAGGTGAATGGACACTCAGAGACGCTCACAGACTCTCTATACATATCAATGTTCTCTCCCCCACACAGCTCATTCAACAGTGGAACTATTTTCCATCTGTTTGTTTAATACAGATAAAACCCAATTGTGCAGTGTACTTCGCTACAAAGACTAGGTGCAGGCAGGGTGGGAGTATAATAGGAGGTGGAATCATCTGTCATAATGTACTGTGGGCTGGGGGGGGGGGAGGGTGCTGCTGAGCATATCAGTGCATTAGCCGGTGTCGGGGTGAGGCTGCCTCAGAGCCGGCTACAGAAACCCATTAGCAGTGATGCTGCTAAAAGTGTTAGCCCGAGGACAGCCATCAATAGCAGAGCCACACCCATTCTGTCTGAGAGTCCCAGAGCAGGAAATAACTGACCAACACAATGGACAGCTTTGAGTTTAGACTTGAATAAACACTTGTTATATACTATATTTATCTACCACTTTTGGAAATGGACAATGTTGTCCCCACCACCTGGCATTAGGATCATTTGTTAAAATGATCTGATAATAGCGTGCACACAGAATTTTACACTTTGTTCATTTGCACAAGAGAATATGTCCAATCTGGAGGACTGTTCTCACTTTCTGGGTGTATTTCTGGTAACACACGTTTAATATTAATAATAATTGAATAGAGAATAGTCAATCAATTGTTGCTCCTGCTTTGCAGCAGCGTAGCATAGTTACAGAACTTATTGTCAAAAACAGATCTGTAAGCATATATACTGTAGTGTATGTATGTAGTGTTTGCCGGGGGGCGCTTAAAGCAGTTGTGTTTTTTTAAAGGTCCCATGTCATGCTTTTCTGGTTATTACCCGTCCCCTTGTGTGTTATGTAGCTTTTTCTGCATGTAAACGGTCTGCAGTCTAAAACCCTCAAAGTACACCCTGTAGTGAGTAAAACTTTAACACAGAGAAGATCTGTCTATGCTGCCCCAGAACGCCGCGTTGGAGATTTCTCTTTTTCTTCCTGGGTACTGTGACGTATTTGGGTATAGTGACGTTACGTCCGCGGAGCCGTTACATTTGGACCAATCCGCGGACTTCCTCACACACACACACTCGGCGGGAAGTTGCGAGGCTCGCTGCTGCGAGGAGCAGGACATTGTGAGCTGGCTCACTGGTGTGGGGTCGGCGAGGTGGCGACACACCGCGGAACTCAGCCTGGGCACACACACAAACTCCCAGCCAGGCTGCGGGTGTGTGTGTGTGTTTCGGGCTGGATTTTGCTGTGTCTCGCTGCCTCGCCGACGGCCACTGGGCTCACGGGGGGGGGGGGGAAGGAGCTCCACATGCTATGCAGAGATGCTGTATGAGAAACCAATGTGATTTTGGAATATTGAACAATGTAAATCTATTGTAATATACCTCAACAATGGAATTATGATCAGTAGAAATGGCCATGACATGGGACCTTTACATCCAAAAAAAAGTGCCACAAATACTTTTTCTAACAAAGTGGCACCCATGTATCAATATATATCTGATATTGACTTTCTTAACCACCCTAAAAAAAATAAGGTATTGCAAGAAATGCAGGTTTCCTCTACTGGTAATGTTTCAGCAGCTGAGGACTGGAGCAGGGAACAGGATGTAGCTCTAAACTGTGTCTCCATGTTGGTCCTCCAGCCACCTTATCAACATCCTGCTCCCCAGAGCTCCGTCTGACAGCATCTGAAGGTCTGCCTGATGTTACAGGTGAGTGGATACTGTGTCGCCGGGGGGGGGGGAGGGGGGACTCACGCAGCTGACCTTAAGCAGCGCTGACAAGGACTGCGAAAGGCTGCTGAAACCCACAGAGCCCTGTTGCTGGTGTTAGGTATTGTGTATCTTGTTTTTTATGTGTTTGTACGGCGACCTTGATAGCCTTGAAAGGCGCCTATATAAAATAAATGAATTATTATTTTATTATTATTATGTCAAACAGGGAATACTGAGACAGTGCAGCACTTAGGATCAGAGGTGGGAAGATTTACTCAAGTACTGTACTTAAAGGTGGGGTAGGTAAGTTTCAGAAACCGGCTCGAGATACACTTTTTGTCATATTCCATGGAATGCTCTTAACATCCCGATAGCAATGAATATCTGAAGTGCTTTGACAAAAAATCCATAAAAAAATGTCATCTGTGGAACCCGTAATACTGTAAAAAGTACAACCAATCCGTTTAGCCGGCCCGGCTAAACAGATTGTATTGCCGCAGATTGGATTGGATTGCCGCCCTGTCTGTCAGCCGCGCTGTCTGTCAGCCTTCCATCTCGTGCATTGCGCGTTCATGTGTGTTGGAGGAGGTGCTCTGTAAGGAAGTCTGAAGGAAGGGGCGGATTCTTTTCGGCTGTGAGGTACTTGTACTTTCCTTGATACTTTACATTTCATGCTACTTTGTACTCTTACTCCACTACAATTTGGAGGTACATGGTGTACTTTTACACCACTACATGTATTTAATACCTTTAGTTTCTTTACAGATGTGGATGAATGATGTGAAATATAATCAAGTATTAAATCAGACTTTAGTTCCACCTGGAGTAAATCCACAAGCTACCCTGCAGTATACAAAGCCATTCAAACTACTCACATGCCTGCTGGAATTTAATTGGATTCTATCCATTTAGGGCAAAATGTAATACCACTTGTTCCACTAGAGGCACCAACCTGCCTTCAGTGCAGAGCAGTGGTATAGTGGGGATTACTGGGGGGACGCTATTTGAATTAGGTCATCCCAAACAATGCCACACAAGTGCGCACGCGCGCAGTGCACTCACAAAACGGGCAGACAGGTCCACAGAAACTACCGGTATGCTTCGTCCTACTTTAATAACTGTACTGCAAAAAGCAGACGGCGCTGCGCTCATCACACACAGACTCAAAACCATGGACACACTGGCACATAAGTTACATAAACAATTTATAGGCTGTAGTGCCGAGAGACGGGAGTCGGAGGCGGGGTATCAAAGTTACAAGCTATCCTTTTATTTAGCATCTGAACACACATGTAAACAACTTCATGCCCGGGAAGCGAAGACCGGCGGAAACAGGAAGTCCGGCTCACTCAAATGTCCATGCGGAACAATACCCCAACCCATAGATCCGTGGGTGAATAATGTCAATCACCACAAGGCCTAAATTGCATAAGCTACAGTATTGCAACTAAGCAGACAGCACTGCTTCTCTCTCTCTCTCTCTATCTCCACTTTCAAAATATATTCAAAACTCATAACAAACAAACAAAATTCCCAAAGTTGTCCTGAAATTTACTTATTAAATAAACGAAACAAAAAATATAGCTTACTTATGCAAACAACATTGAATCTGGACTTGAAATTATTCTGATTAGGCCTAGCCTACATTGCAAATAAGCAGACAGCACTGCTTTACACAAACACACGCACACACACACACACATACACACACACACACACACACACACACACACACACACACACACACACACACACACACACACACACACACACACACACACACACACACACACACACACACACACACACACACACACACACACACACACACACACACACACACACACACACAAACCTTGCGTTTTGAAGACTGGTGAATCCGAAATGGATGAACAAACTTTGCAGCCCAGTTTCCCAGCTTTGTAGTCTATCCACGGGTATGCCTCTTGTTTCCTCCGCCACATCTCCTCCGTCCATACCTCTGGGAAAGGTGAGCTTGCCAGGGGAACGTTGCTAACGCAGTTCAGGGATGCAAAGTTGTCACCTTTCAGGCGAAATGTGCCGTTTTGAAACCAAAATAGGTCGTTAGTGTGATTCATGTAGATCTGCAATAAAAATATTGTTGGGGATGGGGGGGGTCTGGGACCCGGAGTAATCTGCGGCCGCGAGCTGTTATGTGCCATCATACACGCATGGTGTTCTTTTTTTATATATTATAATGAAGCGCGAGCTGTGTACTCGAGTCTTCCTGCCTGTCGGCTCTGCTGCTCCGCGATGATGGTCTAGATTCAGCAGCTACATTACCTACGGGTGCGTTCGTTAATATTAACTGTGCGGTCCGGAGTCACTGTGGTACAGACTGGACCGCTGGTGAACAGCTGTTAGAATGGGCCATTCAGGTGTTCAGAGCAGAGCTCCCTGTCGGAGCGGCAGAGCGTGATGTGCACTGAAAAGTGTTTCTGTCGCAATATTATCGTTGAGCTGGCAAACTAGCATACATTGTCACTATCTGCTAAGGTTAGCTTTAGCCTTAGCTAGGTAGTTTTTTCATAGGCTAAACGGAGGTGGTATAAGTATAGATCTTGTACTTGAGTAAAATTAGAGGCACTCAGATATTGTACTTGATTACAAGTAGAAGTAGGCCTACTCAGATATTGTACTTGATTAAAAGAAGAAGTACTCCGATCTTGTACTAGAGTAAAAGTAGAAGTACTCCGATCTTGTACTAGAGTAAAAGTAGAAGTACTCGGATCTTGTACTTGAGTAAAAGTAGAAGTACTCAAATCTTGTACTTGAGTAAAATTAGAAGTACTCAGTTTTGAGTAAAAGTAGAAGTACCAGAGTGTAGGAACAATCCTGCAATCAAAATGCTCCTCAAATAAAAGTACAAAAGTATTATCATCAAAATATAGTTAAAGTAGCGACAGTAAAAGTAGAAGTACTCAGATCTTGTACTTGAGTAAAAGTAGAAGTACTCAGGTCTTGTACTTGAGTAAAAGTAGAAGTGCCAGAGTGTAGGAATACTCTGTGTTCTGCCCTCACTGTCGTTATGAGCACAGATATGCAGACAGATAACTCCTCGACAAGTGGCAAGCGTTTATCTTCTTTAATAAGATGTTTACATCCACAAGTCAACAGAGTAAAACTGAAAGAAACACAATATACATTGAAATGAGATACTTAGCTGTGATGCAGAAATATATAATACAACGGTTAATTATGTCACAAACATAACAAAATATGCATATCAAATGTTTACATGCAAAAGTGCTGTGTAATACACACTACAAAACATGTGCTAACCATACATCAAACATCAATGAACTTAAACATTGAAACCTCAAAATAATCGTTGATATCCTCTTAAGAATATGTACAAAAGCCAAAAATACTTACAAGCAATGCTTTCAACAACATAGCAAAGAAGGATGGATGCAGATTCAAACAAGTTTCTCCTCTCTGTCCCTTTCAACCACGACTCACATGTGGGTATCACGTCCTATGTTTTTAATGTAAGTCTTTCCCATTGGCTGGTACTAACAAAAGAAGAAGAAAAAAAAGCAACAGCACCACCTGCTGGCTGGAGTAAGACAGCGTCTTAGACAGCACACTCCCCGCTTGACATCTAAGAGATGTCACAATAACATTTTCTTTTGATTGTTCTTATCATTAGTGTTTTGGAAGGAGTGTACGTTATGGGCCTCAAGAAAACCTTCTATGTTCCTCCAGAGGCAACCTTGACTTCTATCTTCCTGACCTGTCCGTTGTGGCTGGGGAAGGTTTTGACCACCATGCCCATTGGCCATTGATTCCGATGGACCTGACTGTCCTTCAGCAGCACGAGGTCCTCTTCTTGCAGGTTAGGTCTCTCCGATTGCCATTTCCTTCGGCCTTGTAGGGTAGAGAGGTATTGGTTTTTCCAACGATGCCAGAAAGCGTATGCGAGATGTTGCACCTGCTTCCACTGGCGTTTGTAGAGGTCACTGTCTTTGAAGTCACCAGGAGGTATTGATGGAATGCCAACCTTCTGGGTTAGGAGGGTAGCTGGTGTTAAGATGATAGGAAAGCTTGGGTCGGTGGACACTGGGATGAGAGGTCTTGTGTTCACAATGGCTGTCACCTCTGCCAAGAAAGTGGATAGCGCTTCATGGGTCAGCTGCCGGGATGGAATGCCCATAAGCATTGAGTCGAGTATACGTCTTGTCACGCCGATCATGCGCTCCCAGCTACCACCCATGTGTGAAGCGTGAGGTGGGTTAAACACCCATATGCATCCTTTGTCACTCAAGAAGTCTTGCAGTGTCTTGAGTCGATACCAAACTCTTTACATGCGCCTAGGAAGTTGGTCCCACAGTCAGACCTCAACTGCTTTACTGGGCCGCGGATGGAGATGAATCGCCGCAACGCGTTGATGAAACTGGAAGACTCCATTGACTCGATCACTTCAATGTGTATGGCTCTGACACTCATACAGCTAAAAATGACTGCCCACCGTTTACTGTTGGCGCAGCCTCCACGAGTACATCGAGCAGTTACTGTCCAAGGCCCGAAAACATCTACTCCAACGTAGGAGAATGGTGGGCTGGTGCTTAGGCGCTCCGTGGGAAGGTCAGCCATCTTCTGTGTTTCGGTTTTCCATCGAAGCTTGCGACAGGTCACACAGCTGTGAATTATGGAACTTATACTCCGCTTTCCGCCAATAACCCATAGGCCAGCTGACCTCACCGCACCCTCTGTGAAGTGGCGCCCTTGATGCTGGACTTATTGGTGGTAGTGTCTGATAAGTAGAGTAGTCAGGTGTTGACCATGAGGAATGATAAGTGGGTTTCTCTCGTCACTTACAATATCAGCTTTTGACAAACGACCGCCGACTCTGAGGCAACCTGCATAGTCCAGGTAAGGAGACAACCTTGTGAGCTGGCTCTGTTTGGGGGTCTCTTTTCCTGCTTGTATGCATGCAAACACTTCGGGGAAGGCCTTGCATTGAAGACTGCGTATGATGATTTCCTTGGCCCTGGCGAGATCTTCTGGGCAGAGACCTTTGCATATGTGCCAACCCTGACATTTGCTCTTATTTCTTTCTCGCTTGAAAGACCTGGGTATGTAGATCAGCCTTGCTATAGTTCTCACAAGCGATCTCCAGGTTGAGAATGATTTGAAACGACTCGGATCCAAGGAAGACTCCACAACCCGAGTGGCACAAGACGTCACAGGAGGACGGATGTCAGGGTCAGACTCTGGGTTCACCAGGTCAAAGGATGGTTCGGTATCTCCCTCCTTCTGTTTTGGCTTCAACAGGAAGTCTGGACCCTTTAGCCACATGCTGGACATCAAGGCGTTCGCAGGAATAGACCTTGAACCAATGTCGGCCGGGTTTGCGTCTGTGGGAACATAGCTCCATTGTTCTGGTAGGGATGTTTTCTGATTCTCTGCACACGGTTGCTTACGTAGACATAGAACCTTCTGGATTCATTGCGAATGTAACCGAGGACAACTTTACTGTCGGTGAAGAACCGCAGAGAATGAAACTGGACATCCATCTCCTCTGATAGCTTGTCTGCAATTTCCACCGCCAAAACAGCCCCACAAAGTTTGAGTCTGGGGATTGTCACCTCTGGTTGCGGCGCAAGCTTAGCCTTGCCGAACAGAAATCCAAGTTTACTTTTGCCTTCTGCATCTGATACTTTAATGTAGGCTACAGCTGCTATGGCTTTTGTAGAGGCATCACAGAAAGCTCCCTGTGTGTTGAACTGCTCAGGGAGATGGCAGTGTATGTCCTTGGAATGCGGACGTGTTCCAGATCTTTGATAGAGTCTTTCCACTCACACCAGTCTGTAAGCTTCTTTTCAGGAAGGGGTTCCTCCCACTCGCAGGCCTCCGTTGTAAGCTCTCTTAGCAGGGCTCTACCTTTAATGCTGACTGGAGCTGCAAAACCAAGCGGGTCGTAGAGGCTATTTATGGTCGATAACACCCCTCTGCGAGTGTAAGGTTTCACTGCCCTGGACACATGGAAGGTGAACTCGTCAGTTGTAACGTCCCAGCTTATTCCTAGTCTTCGTAACATGGGTGGAAAGTCTGCTTCAACATTGAGGTCTTTTAAGCCTTTTGCAAGATCCTCTTTTGGAAAGGCTTTCATCACTTCGATGCTGTTAAAAGCTATCTTGTGCAGCTTTAAGTTGGATGCAGCTAGCGTTTCTTGGGCCGCCTTGAGAGCTGCAACGGCCTCATTTTCCGATGGAAATGAGATGAGACCATCGTCAACATAGAAGTGACGCTCAACTAGTTGTTTCGATTGAAAGTCACTTCCTTCTTGGTCTTTGGATGCCTTTCTGAGCGCGTAGTTTGCCACGGCAGGTGATGGACTGTTCCCGAAGACGTGCACTCTCATGCGATACTCCACTATGGGTTGCTCCAAGTCGTTGTTCCGGTGCCAAAGGAAGCGTAAGAAGTTCCTGTGATCTTCTCGTACCAAGAAGCAATGGAACATCTGCTTGATCTCAGTAGTTACTGCCACTCGCTCTTCGCGGAACCGCATAAGCACACCCAGCGGGCTGTTGTTGAGATTAGGGCCTGTGAGAAGGACATAATTTAAAGACACTCCGTGGTGTTGAGCGCTCGAGTCGAAGACCACCCTGATTTGTTCTAGCTTATGAGGGTGATAAACCCCAAAGAAGGGAAGATACCAGCATTCCTCATGTTCTTTGAGTGGGGGTGCCAGTTCTGCATGACCGCTGACAAATATATTTTCCATAAAGTCCACAAAGTGTTGTCTTGTTTCAGGTTGCTTCTTCAGCGTGCAACAAACTGAGAAGAGGCGTTGACTGGCTTGCTGTTTGTTGTTGGGGAGACGTGGTCTTGGAGAGCAGAAGGGCAACGGAGCCACCAAGCTGCTTGAGTCGTCTTGGTAGACTTCCTTCTCCATTATCTGCAGGAAGGTTCTTTCTTCTATGGAGTAGGCAGGTTTCTCGTCTGCGCTAGTAGACTGAAAGACTGTATCTCCCATGGTGTCTGCCTTAGAGTCCATCCTGTCGCGGTCTTGGCAATCAAAACTTTCCTTTACCTGCATGCTGTTTTGACATGGAAGGAAGTAGCTTGGTCTTCCATTTTCCAAGATGTTTGTCTTGAGAACATTTACATGTCCGGGGTTGTGAGCCCCGCCAAGACAGACATCACCAACAATAACCCACCCCAGAGCTAACTTCTGTGCGAATGGAGCATTTAGGGGCCCGTTGCGCTGCTCGAGCACCTTGTGGGTCTGAATAACATCTCTTCCAAGTAGCAACAGAATATCAGCCTTGGGATCGAATGCTGGGATCTCTGTAGCAACGTCCTTGAGATGTGGATGATAGTGAGCGGCTTCAGGAGTTGGTATTTCATTTTGATTGTCAGGAAGCATGTCACATTCGATAAGCGTGGGCAAAGCCAGACTGGATTGGCCATCTGTTGATTCCACTATGAAATTACTCGCTCTTCTCCCAGTCACCTTTGAAACACCTGCACATGTCTTAAGAGTGTATGGAGTAGAGTTTATGTCGATCCCAAAGATATCGAAGAAGGAAGATCTAGCCAGAGACCTGTTGCTCTGATCGTCCAAGATAGCATAAGCTCTGAGTCGCTTGTCATAGTGATCCTTTGGATAGACAACGAGGCAAATCTTGGCACATGAGTGTCCACCGATCTTATTTCCACACACCTGTGTGCATGTAGAGGTGGCAATGGGTGAAGCTGAGCCTTGCTCCCCGCCGTGATCAAAGGCAGGTCCTGCAAACCTGTGTGTCGCCCATGGTGCAGGACCAGCGTGGAGAGCACTGATATGTGAATTACTTTCACATTCTGAACAGTGGATTTCCATCTTACAGTTCTTTGCTTGATGGCTGGAAGAAACACAGCATCGGAAACATATCTGATTTTGTCTCAGATAAGCCTTCCGTTCTTCCAGAGACTTCTCCCGGAATAACCTGCATTTTTTGAGTGGATGAGGTTTTTTGTGGATGGGACACTCTTTGCTTGGGTCTGTAATGGTTTTTTCAGCACTTGGCGTTTGTTCGGAGCTAACCACTTCTGTTCTGTGGACTGTGATAGGCATTTTTGATTTGTCGTGTTTTTCCAGATGCTTGTCTGCTTTGAAGGTCGTGAAGGTGGGTGGAACCATAGACATGAAACTGGGGTCATTTCTCATTTTGGCCTCATCTTTAATGAAGGTAGCAAAGACCGAAAATGGAGGGAATGACACAGAATAATCGCGTTTGTATCTCGTTCCGTGCGTCATCCATTTCTCTTGCAGGCCAAATGAAAGTTCATCCACTATGGGATGGATTCCACGTGCCGTGTCGAGGTACAGCAATCCTGATATGTGTCCTTCGCTCTTAGCAGAGTCAATCTCTAACAGTAGGTCACCAAGGTCCCGTAGCAGATGAGGCTCCTTGTTGGTAATTCTGGGGAACTGTTCTAGCCTATCAAACATAGCCTTTTCTAAGGCCTCAGGAGATCCATAACACTCTTGAAGTCTCTCCCACACTTTGTTCAGACCGAGGGAAGGGTAGTTAATATGCACTGCTCTGAGGCGTTTTGCATGTTGTGAGGATTTGTCGCCTAACCACTTCAAGCTCTTCACTAGCTGTTAGATGTAGACCTTGGATGACATTTTCAAATGAGGATTTCCATGCCCAGTGGCCCACCTGGCTTGTCGCTAAACCTTGTAAGACCTCCAGTGAGCAACTCACATCTAGCTAGAAATCTGGGAAGGTCAGAAATACTTGAGGTTTCTTGTGGGTGAATCAGAGGACTTGACCATTGTGGTTGTTCATGCACTGCAAAGCTCTTAGGTAGCTGAGATGCTCTGTCGTTTGCATTGTTCTTGCAAGGCAGCAACGTGTATGGAGATCTCGGGACAGGCATTTCAACTTCCTGCTTGAGTTGGTTAAATGTGGAGTCCGTTGGAGCCTCGTTAGGCTTCAGGGCTGCATGTGGAGTTGATTTCTCATTTTGGAGAAATTGGTCATTCACATACTCGCTTGTGCGTTTTAATGGGTGAAATGTCTGTGGGAAGCGAACGCTTATGCGGTCTTCTTCTATTTCGCTTGCCGCAGCCTTGTACACATTAGCTTCAGTGAGAGCTGCCTCTGCATCGGGTTCCTGATTAAGCGCTTCCAATGTAGCCTCCAGACGTGTTTCTTCCACTCTGTGTTCTGCTTGTTTTACTCTCAATTCGATTTCCTTTTGAGCATAGGCCGCTCTGGCTCGTGCTGCCTCCGCTCTAGCCCGTGCATTGACCGCAGCCAAGCTGGCAGATGACTTACTGGAACCCTTTGATGATTTTGATGCGTGAGTGTGGACTGATTCATTATCTCATGGCTGAGACATGTTTAGTTTCTTAGGGAAGACTGACGTGTGTATCCACCTGATACTTTGATGATGTAGACGAATCTGCTTTTTGACTGTTCTGCCCTCACTGTCGTTATGAGCACAGATATGCAGAAAGATAACTCCTCGACAAGTGGCAAGCGTTTATCTTCTTTAATAAGATGTTTACATCCACAAGTCAACAGAGTAAAACTAAAAGAAACACAATATACATTGAAATTAGATACTTAGCTGTGATGCAGAAATATATAATACAACGGTTAATTACTTCACAAACATCACAAAATATGCATATCAAATGTTTACATGCAAAAGTGCTGTGTAATACACACTACAAAACATGTGCTAACCATACATCAAACATCAATGAACTTAAACATTGAAACCTCAAAATAATCGTTGATATCCTCTTAAGAATACGTACAAAAGCCAAAAATACTTACAAGCAATGCTTTCAACAACATAGCAAAGAAGGATGGATGCAGATTCAAACAAGTTTCTCCTCTCTGTCCCTTTCAACCACGACTCACATGTGGGTATCACTTCCTATGTTTTTAATGTAAGTCTTTCCCATTGGCTGGTACTAACAAAAGAAGAAGAAACTAAAAGCAACAGCACCACCTGCTGGCTGGAGTAATACAGCGTCTTAGACAGCACACTGTTACAGTAAAAGTACTGCATTCAAAATGTTACTCAAGTAAAAGTAGAAAAGTATTATCATCAAAATATAGTGAAAGTAGCGACAGTAAAAGTAGTGATTGTGCAGATTGGTCCATTTCAGAATATTATATACAGTATGATATGTTTTATAATGATTGATCATGAAAGTGTTCTCAAAGCTGGTAAAGGTGCAGCTAGTTTGAATGACTTCGTATACTGCAGGGTAGCTGGTGGATTTACTCCAGGTGGAACTAAAGTCTGATTTAACACTTGATTATATTTCACATCATTCATCCACATCTGTGAAGTAACTAAAGGTATTAATACATGTAGTGGAGTCAAAGTACACCATTTACCTCTGAACTGTAGAGGAGAAGAAGAACAAAGTAGCAAAACATTGAAATACTTAAATAAAGTACAAGTATCTAAAAATTGTACCCAAGTATAGTACTTGTTGAGTTTATGAATGTAGTTACTTTACACCAGATGCCATAAAGATAGAAAGCTAAGCCTTGCACAGAGGCATGAAAATACATTTTCAAAATGCTCAACAGTGCTGCCAAAATTATAAACTGACTGCTACACAATTAAAATAAATGCTTTTATATATTTATATTAGATGTGACTCTTTAGCATTTCTGTTATTATTAACACTGCTGCTTTAGTTGTTCTGACTGCTAAAATCCTCTGTTATTCCTCATTTTAAAACTGATATTCCGTGGGGTCGGGGGCTCGGATCCTTGTCACCTTTTTCATACCTGATGAGTTTGCATCCCTGGCAGTTAATGTTAACACTAGCATTATCCACGTCTTTAGGCGGCTCTTGTGATGATGTAGTACTAGTCTAGTAGCAGCTTCACTTGTAGCTTCGGTGCTGCTAGCCTCTTTCTTCTTGTGAATTATATTCTTTTTAGAAAATAAGTCAAGTAAAAAATGTTTGCCTGCCATTATAGAGCTTTTTCGTTAGCGTTTTTGAGGGAAAGAGCTGCCGCAAAATCGGGTGTCACTGACACACCCCCAGCTCGCCGCGGGGTCACCAGCGTGATGACGAATCATAATTTTTTAAGGAAATCGTTTTTATTTTGTATTATAATTACTGTGAAATGTATTATGTTTTTGTCATTATTACAACAAATACACACTTCAACTGATAACACTGGCAATCATTTAATATTTATTAGACTATTAAAAAAAATATCATGCTCCAAATAAGTGGGGGTACAGCGTACCCCCGCGTCCAACGCCCACTACACCACTGGTCCAGAGGGAGAAGTCAGGCTTGTCAATAAAACAGCCATCAACCCTTCTAAAGTGGGAGATACTAACTATCCAAACCCCAGCCTCTTCCTTATGGTTTACAGGAGACTGATCTTCCATTCGTAGTTAGTCGATTGTTCGATATAGGTTCCCGATACTATGTTACACCATGATCTATAATATTAATGTTCAACTTATATTATTTGGATGATTCAACACCAAATTCACTCTGCTCTTTCTAATCCTATTAGATCTTCTGTATGTTCATCACTAATGTGTAAGTGGTGTTTTTAAGATCTTTAAATAGCTTTGCTAAAATCTAAAAAGATCAAGAGCCTGTTACTGTTTACAGCTAAAAGGTTTCTAATGAGAAATCCAGTCTGAGTTTTACTCATCACAGTTTTGGCAAAGACAGACGAGAGCCGTCCAACCCTGATGGATGGCCGCTCTGAAGAAGAGGACACAGCCGGGTCCCTCAGCGGCAGGAAATGAGACAGCCGTCACTCCTCTCGACAAATCCACCAATCATATTCCGCCAAAACACGTAATGCGGTTTTTAATAACCTTTCAAGCAGGGGTCACCAACCTTTTTTAGGGCGAGGGCTACTTTAAAAAAATAAAACAAGTCGGGGGCTACTTTTACTCCTCTTTTTAGTCTATTGCAGTGTATATATTTAGCACATTTTAACATTATTATATGCTTACCTTTAACCTTTGTGTGCTGTTTGGGTCTGTGGGACCCGTTTTCAGTGTTTACTAAAAGAACAAGTATTCAATTGAATTATTTTAACCTGCTTTATTTGGGGGTGGACGGGCCTCACCTCCTCTAGGGGGGTCCTCACCTCCTCTAGGGGGGTCCGGGGGCATGCACCCCCGGGAAGAGTTTTTTAAAATGTTGAAGTGAAAAGCATCAATCTGGTGCACTTTGAGCACAAAATGAATTTATGGATACAGCTCTCAACACTTAGATGAAAGGGAGCTGTATACTTTTCAATAATCCAAACATCTTTAGAATATGATCACAACCAATAACAAATCATTTAAACTGGTTTATTCATATCTTATGTCGCCTAGTTAGCATTCTTTCTTTTTATTTATGCATATTTTACTAATCACTCCCCTTTTAAACAGTTTTTAGTTTTTTTTACTGTCCTATAGTACACACTGGAATGATTTCTTACTTTATCTATATTAAATGTGCTCTCCCTAGCTCTCTCGCTCTCTCCCTCCCTAGTTCTCTCGCTCGCTCTCTCCCTCTGTCTCGCTCGCTCACAGAGGCTGTGTGCTCCTCCGTGGCGATGACGGCTTGCGTTAAAAAATAATAATAAACATATTTGTAAAGTGGGGGGACACAAATGGGATTTTGAAAAGTGCGGGGGACATGTCCCCCCTGTCCCCAGTGGAAATTAGGCGATGCGTGTGTGTGCGTCAAGTGCAATAAATATATAAGCAAGTTGCAACACACAGAGTAAAACTCTGCCCCTCATGTGTTGTATAGGCTAGCATGATAGGCTGTTCAATGGGGCTGATGTGTTGTGTAGAATCTGCCAGAAGGAAAATCACGGTGAGCTGCCGCTCCCCATTGCTTTTCTTCCCGGCTGCAACGCTGGTCCAGCAAATCAAGCAAGAACGTGATTGGTCGATATTCATTGTGGGGGTGGGGGGAGGAGGGGTGTTAGATAGATATAGAGTTGTAGTAAGTAGATATAGTTCGCTATGATTTAGGTTTAGTTTATGCATAGGGTAGATTCCTTTAATTACATTTCATTTAATTTCAAACCTTTATTTATACAGATAAATCCCATTGAGATCATTGATCTCTTTTCCAAGGGAGACCTGCTCAAGTAGTTCCACATGAAACATAAAAACATAAATAGAACAACAAAAGGACATCATACAGCATCATTTACATAATTATCCACATAAACAGGTACCAATAGCTTCCGATTGAGTAGCATCCAACCGAGCTTTAAAAACATTTAGTGGCACCAGATTGTTCAGTTTCCATTTCATTTGCAGACTATTCCAAGACAGAGGAGCTGCGCATCTAAAAGCTGTCTTCCCTAAGACAATCCTAGCAGTTTGCACATTTAATAAAACCACAGCATGCGATCTCAGGCAGTAGCCACTTACAATTTTCCGTGAGATCAGGGAGCAGATATAAGATGGAAGTTTCCCTAACATGGCTTTGTATATAAAGATGTACCAGTGACTGAGCCTCCGTACAGTTAGTGAAAGCAAACCAGCCCTTGCATACAGGGTACAGTGATGGGTTAATGCTTTACAGTTTGTCACAAATCTTAGTGCACTGTGATACGCAGCATCTAACTTGACCAGGCAATTGGCAGGTGCATTCATATACATCAAATCACCATAGTCCAGCACAGGTAAAAAGGTCACAGTGACTAGCCTTTTCCTGGCCTCAAGCGAGAAACAGGACTTGTTCCTGTAGAAGAAACCTAGCTTAACCCTCAGCTTTTTAAGCAGGTTATTGACATGAAGTTTAAAAGTGAGACAATCATCAAGCCAGATACCAAGGTATTTGTAACAGGTAACCACTTCAATTTGTATTCCTTGTGTAGTTACAATATCTAAAACATGCTCTGGTGTCTTTTTAGCTTTAGAAAAGAGCATTACCTTGGTTTTATCAACATTTAAAATAAGCTTTAGCTCAGAGAGCTGAGTCTGAATAATGTTAAAAACAGCCTGTAATTTAACACCAGCCTCCTTAAAGCCCCTGTCACACTGTCCCGAAATTGACACCCGATGGACACACGATAAAGGAAATGTTCAAATTCGGCTGTGATCGTAGCAACATCGGGCCATTCGTGAGGGCATCTTAAGCCAACGTATGACTGCCGGTGGAGTTTCTCAGGCTCCGGCAGCAACTTCGTGAGCGGAAAACTTTGTAAGGCACTCGTGAGGGCATCTTGTCAAGTCGTGTCATCTTCGTGTTATCATCGGTGCATTCACCCTCACTCTGATCGGGGTGAATGCCCGATGGCACCGATGATAACAAGATGCCCTCACGATGGTCTTACGAAGGGCAAAATTGACACACGAATTCAACACGAAAATGAACCTTCGCAATGTCCTTCGGCAATTTTTTGGCATGCCAAAGATTTTGCCACCGCTCACGAAGTTGCTGCCGGAACCTGAGAAACTCCACCAGCGATCATACGATGGCTTAAGATGCCCTCACGAATGGCCCGATGTTGCTACGATCAGAGCCAAATTTGAACATTTCCTTTATCGTGTGTCCATCGGGTTGTTTTATTGCACAACAAAATCATGTAAATATATTATGTAAATAACCCAATTTGTGTTCTGTGAAACTGAAAAGGATAAAATATATTATTTTGCAGGACAGTTGACAGGAAGTTGTTGTTGTTATGGAAACAACATTACGGAGAAAACGTAATATTTTCTACATATAAAGACGGATAAAGTAAAGAACAAAGTCTGAAGATATCAGTACAGTATCATAGTACTTTAACATAAGTGTTTGTGTGACTTTCGTTGCAGTTGTATGTCTTAAATTAGGGGTGTAACGGTATCCGTATTCGTCCTGTACCGTCACGGTTCGGACGTCACGGTTCGGACGTCACGGTTCGGACGTTACGGTTCGAAACATGCAGTCACACGGCGAATACGCCTTTTTTTACGAGTGGGAAAAAAGTCTGTCACTCAGGGCAGTATTACACTAT